TACCATTTTTGGAAGTTGGACTACCACTTCTCAGGGGGGAATCCATTGGCCCATAGAAACCCATTGATGGCGAAGCCAAGTGGCCTAGGACCTACTCCAGCACATCTGGATCTTACAACACCTCAGCACAACAAGACATCCTATTTTCGTGCACCTTCACGAGCTCGCCACCGTGGGCACAAGTGGTACTGGGGGCAGCTCCATCATTGGGGCTCTTGCGGCATGTGGTCATTCAACATCAATGCCTTCCTCAGTGGCTTCACTGGGATGGTTGGTGGTTACATGATTTTCATCCCGGAGGGGTTCTGTTCTAGACTTCCTGGTGGCCACCCGCTAGTAGTGGTTCCGACTACTCGGCTTTTACCACAGGCCGAAGGTGGCTCACACGCCATCACAACCACAGAGAAGCATGAATTTTTGGGAGTTCAAATGGGATTCCTCAACTCACAGGGGGACACGATGATAGCCTGCATACATGATTGCCATGGTTGGTTCAAGCAGATGCAATGGTGGCTCCCAAAGATCGGCATGCACTCGGCGCAGCAGGTCCGGTTGCCCTCTCATCTGGGGGCCATGCTTGAGATGGACTACCTTCCCTTCAGGCTCTCGGAGTCTCCTCCATCTTGGCACTGTGACCTTCAGTGGACACTTCTGCACGGCCATCTTTGGCATGGAGAACAGCTGCCTATTTTGGCTGTTCCGCTCTCCTTTTGGGGGGCAGTGGCAGCCTCACGGTTGGCAGATGAGTCTCGGCCAAGCAGGAGGAGGTGATCAATTTTATTCATGACTCTGCCATCAACGGCAACTGGCATGGAACGGGCTGTTTTGCTTGACATCATGTATACCTTTTTCCTTGTGAACAATCCCTGCCTTTGTCAGCGGCTTGGGACGAATGCTCATTTGTGGCTGTTGGTCACGGGACATGGTGGCACCTTCCGCGGGATCTCGAACCAGAAGGCCAGGTGTCGGTCCCTCGGCTGAAAGTTTGCAGTGAGCTTCATTTCAATTGCACACCCAATGAGGTGGTGCGCCGCTTACCCTTTTCTTTTTGGCTGGGTCTGAATGATCTGACGCCCCTGTTTGAGGCAGCTTTCGACGCTGCTTTGATGTTGAGGTTCCCTAAGGACTGGCTCGAGCATCCGCTCGGCTGCCTACCTGCTTGCTGAGGTACAGGCCCTACGGGGCACCAGATGGATAACTGGGTCCACGCGATCTTCGACTGAAGAGCGTATGAAAGAAAGATGATGATGATGATGATGATGATGATGATGATGATGATGATGATGA